CCAACATACTCTTTGTAGTTTAATAAAAATGTTACTGAATTACTCACATAGAAAGAGAATGATGAATTATTAGAAATTGAAATCACTTATGAAATTAAGGTTTTAGATTATAAGTTATTAAATCTTCAATTAAATTAAGCTCGTAATTTAGTGTTATCATATATTAAAAAATTTGAAGATGAATTAGAAGATTATTCATTGCAACTCTAAGACCTTAGATAAATTAAGATTCCTTAGAATAATGAAATTTCAAATGAGTTAAATGATGGATAACAAAATCTTAGTAGATAAGAACCATCTCATAATACATATACTATTGGAGTTCCAGATTATTATCACAAACCTTTGGAATTGTAGAGTTAAGATTTTTAATAGAATCCTCAGATCGAGGAAAGATAATTAAGTATTATACCTTATATTATTGGAATTGTTTTGGCTTCTTTTTGCAACATTTTTATAAATGTTTTGTTTGAATTATCGTTTTTAATGATTATTTTAATACTGGTGTTAAAAGACGATCGAACTAATTTATTTACAAAATTATTAATCTTATTATCATGGATAATGTTTGGATTAAATTTATGGTTGCATTAATCTTAAATTTTAATCAACATAACAAGTATATAAATAGGATGGTTAGGATTATGTATATTATAATTATATAAAATTTATTTAATTTTTTTATGATAAAATAAATAATAACAACACCTTTGTTTTATGTGAATGCTTAACCACATATTGGTCATCTTTATTCTATGATATATGCAGATGCAATAGCTAAGTACAAATAAGTGAAATTACTGACAGGAACTGATGAGCATGGATTAAAGGTTTATAGAAGTGCTAAGAATGAACCACTCTAAAAATATTGTGATACTATTTCAAATTAATTTAAAAATTTAGCTAACTCCTTTATCAAATATGATTAATTTATCAGAACTACTGATCCTTAACATATTCTGAAAGTATAAAAGAATTGGAATCTACTATTAAATAATGGGTTGATTATAAAAGATACTTATAAAGGATATTATTGTTAAGTAGAAGAATCATTTGTGAATCATAAAACAGATTAATATTTAGAAGAAGATAATTATTTTTTCAAATTTGACAAAGATTATCTTGATATTTGTATAAAAAATACACCATCTAGGTATTAAAATGAACTTAAACAATTGATAATTAATAGTATATGTATAAGTAGACCTAAATAAAGATATTATTGGGGTATAGAGGTTCCTAATGATAATAATTAATTAATTTATGTATGGCTGGATGCTTTATTAGGTTATTTACAAGAAGAATAACATCATTACATTCATGTGATTGGTAAAGATATTGTTAGATTTCATGCGTTATATTGGCCTAGTTTCTTAAAAGGTATCAATAACCAATCAACTACTTAATTGGTAGTGCATAATCATTGGATCAGAAATAATGTATATTTAAAATAATAATTCAGATGAAAATGTCTAAGTCTCTAGGCAATGTTATTGATCCATTCCAATTATTAACTAAATATAACTAAAATTAAATTAGATTATATTTCCTTACATAAGGACCTTAAAACATGGATGTTTCATTTGAAGAACTTAAATTAGAGAAGTGTTGGAATACATACATTGATCAATTTAATAATATTCTATTTAGATTATTTAGACCAAAGATTATATCACCTAATCTATTGTTATTATAATAACATTTATTGGATGATCAATTATTATCAATTAAATAATCATTTTTATAATTCTATAATAATACTAAGGCATTCTTAGATACCAATTCATTTATTGAGGGATATATAGAATTATAAAAGATTTTTGTACTCATCAATACTCTTATAGATAAAAATTAACCATGGAAAATGCAAGACAAATTTTAAAAAGAATAATTTTTAAGTTTTATTTGCATTTTAATATCAATGACTTAATAAATTTTAAATATCTATGTGTAAACACCTAATATTATAACACCTACGTTTAAGGAATTCCCTTTAAATAATAATGTTTAAGTAACAGTAGATTTAGAGTAAGATTTAAGATTAAAAAGATTCATCATTAATTGAATATATCATTATATTAATCTTTTATTAATTAATAATTTTTATTTAATTATTATTTATTTTTATTAATCTCTTTTATTTCTGTACTACAACCTTAACTTTATTCTTTACATTTCTAAATAATTTATTCAATATTTCTCAATTTCAAAGGTGTAGGTACACGTTACGCTTTTTCTGAACTGAAATTTTATCTTAATAAATTTTAACTTTTCTTCCTCTCATATTCTAATTGTGTTTTATAAATATCATATCTCTATTTTCTCTATTGTAGTAACTCATTAACTTTGAGTAACAGTTTTTCATTATTTTCATGATTGTTAGGACTATTGAATCTAGCAAATTTAAATTTAGGCATATAGTTTTAACAAGATTGTAATATTTTGACATAACTTTGATCAGGAAGCAATATTTTATAAGAATGTTATTTTTATTTATACTATTAAAGGACTTCTTTTTCAATAATTCTTTCTTGAATCCTTGTCTCTCGTCGACTAAGCTTTTCATTTTTTATATAATCATCCATTTTTTTATATATTGCATCTTCATATTATGGAATAGCTATTTCAAAAACTTTATTGGTTTGTTTAGGAATTAGATGATGTATTTTAATTTATCTTGTTTTGCCATAAATCTTATTTACAAACTCATCATATTACTAATTCAACTGACCAGAACTCGATGATAATTATTATGAAGGGGAGTAATGACTTCTACTTCTATAAGTTGTTAATTCATTAATATTATTCATAATATAATTTCATTTATAATATGTTTATGGTATAAATTGTGAAGGGTTGTTTCTAAAACATAACTCTACTATCCATAGAATTTATTCTACTTTAAGAAAATATTTAAGTTTATAGCACAGCTTATTATCGTACTATTTTAAATATACTTCTTCATTTTTATTATTATAATTATTCTTATTATACTTTTTCAAAATTGAGTAATTATTTTACAAAACCAGAATATGAGTTTACCTGTCTACGTTTAGATTTTAATTTCATATTATTTTAAAGTATCAAATAGACAGCAAATCATTTTTGGAGATCCGATGATTCCAAAAAAAATAATGAACTAAAATATTTGTCTGTTTTTGATCACGATCAAAAAAATCAAATATTTAATCAGCAATTTGTAATTATGTTGTAATATTTTTCTTCATGTGCTTAAATTACATGATGAAATTGAACAAAATTAAATAACTATCTCTTAATTTAATTATACAATCAATGTTTTGTTAAGTTAATAAAGAAAAAGAAAAATCAACTAAAAGAAGATAAATAAATCTTTAACTCCTTCATATCCTTGTAAATAAATTGTTCCTTCATTATGTGCTACTCATTTAATTTTCTAATTTGGTCCCTTGTTCTAGTATGCTAGTTAATAGATCAATAGATCAGAATCCACAACTTAAGGTACAGAATACACGAATTTAAGATTATCTATTGGAATAGTTATTGAGATGATGCTTCTAGAGAATAGATCTGTTGTCAAAGACATAAAAGTTAATTAAAATTTCAATATGATTCTTTATCTTTTTTAAGAGAGGATCCTTCCAATTCAAATTTGTAGTTGCTCTCATAATTGTAATTTGGAGTGACTGGTGAAGTTTATGAGATAGGATCTGATTTTCTTTATGAAAATATTTGAGTCTACTCTAAGAATTGCTAGGTTGACAAAGGTTTATTGGTCCAAAGTAATTGAGCCAAGAATTACACAGGTAAATTATCAATATTATATTGAGTACTTAATTTCTATTTCACAAATTAATTAACTTATTCGCGATAATATTTAAGATCAAAATTAATTCTGTATTATTTGAATTCATCAAATCGATTATTCTCTTAAATACAATTTACTATTAATGTTGTGTATTAACATTATGATATCATTCTTATTCTTAAACTTATCAATAATTCAACTACCGACATTATACTATTTAATGGTATAATATTTGGAAGGATAATTGTTACTTTTTCTAAAATTGGAACAAATGGAAC